GGGGGTGAGGGTGAAACTGAGGCCGGCGGCTGAGGTGGTGGTGGTAATGGTGGTGGTGGTGAAGGACTAGTTGAGGGCTGCATCGGAAGCAGGGCTGATGGCGATTGAGAGGAGGGTGACGTAGAGCACTGAATGGGCGACGAGGACGAGTCCATTGTGGCGGAAGAAGAAGAAGAACAACAACAACAAATGACTACTTCTGCTGCTTAAGATTTCGCTAAAGTTGAAATCAAAGCAGAAGATGACGGCTTTTGATGCCAACTGCGATGTGCTGCTGATGCGGTTGTTTCAATCTGAAGACCTGACCAAAAGAAGCAGCAGTTCAGAAGTGGCTCCAAACAGCTGGAACAGCTTTTGACCCAAATCACAAAAGCACACCGCGGCCGAGCAGTGAGCAGCCGCCGAACACTGAAACGCTGCAGCCAAAATGACCCAGGCGTTGGGCGCTATATAGCACTGCCGGTGTTCCAACGCTGCTGGAACGAACTGCCGGCTGCTCTTTGTCGGCAGCAAAAATGTACGCGGGAAAAAGAGGGAGAGCGGGTGATTCCAAAATCTAAAAGTGCGCATTTACTTGGTCGTAGAAAGCTCAAGCGTATACGTGTTATATTTTTGGCAGTAAATGCAGCCACAAGCGAAATGTTGTGGTTGATGATGCACAAAACTAATTAAAAACTTTTGATTTAATATGTCAAAAGCAATGCGTCATTATATNTCCAAAATCTAAAAGTGCGCATTTACTTGGTCGTAGAAAGCTCAAGCGTATACGTGTTATATTTTTGGCAGTAAATGCAGCCACAAGCGAAATGTTGTGGTTGATGATGCACAAAACTAATTAAAAACTTTTGATTTAATATGTCAAAAGCAATGCGTCATTATATCACAAATGCTCTGAACGATATAAAGTTTTTAATTATCTAAAACAGACAGTTTTTTAAACTGTCGCTTTAATTAAATTAACTTTTAGCTAGTGTCGCTTAATCTTTACTACAAAGGTCCGGATTTCCATCGGGTGCAGAATGACCTCCAGTTTGGTCGGATCGACGGGAGTGGACGCCGGCGTGGACACGTTTCCAATGGGCTTGTAGGCAAACCTTAGCCGTTCTTTGAGCTGCTCAACGGGCGAATGCGCAGAGAGGGTCATCTCCTTCGCCTGGACAATCTCAAACTCCTCAAAGAGATTTCGGAGGCTGACAGTGGCCGGAGCGCTGAGCACTGCATCTTCTCCCTTCTGGTAGAAGTGCTCCAGACGGAGGAGAACCTCATCCTCTGATCGCCACTGCTCCAGCGTCAGGAGGTGGACATTTTTGGAAAAGCTGGCGGCTCCTTTCGCTAGACTGGAGATGGCGCCCGCCCCGGTGATCACCCTCCGCTGGGCGTCACTGCTGGGCGAAAAGCTGATCACCGGCGGGAGGAGGTTCTTCAGCGTCAGCGGTCGAGTTTGCCGGGCCAGCTTGCCGGTGGGGGCGATCACCACCTGGTGACGACCTCGAACGACCAGGCCGCGGCCGTCGACGCCCGGCTCGCTGAGCGGCTCACCGACGCCCTTGCCGTCGTCGTGGAGCAGGCGTCGGTGGAGCATCAGCTCGGCGACGCCCGGCGCCATGCTGGTGCCGCCCTGAGAGCGATCTACCAGGACAGCCATGGAGAGCTTCTTCTGGGCGTCCTCCAGGACGATCATCGAGTTGACCGGGTAGTAGTTGCCCGACACCGGTTCGGTGACCTCGAGTTTCCAGCTCGGTCGGAAGTCTACCTGACGGGTGAGCAGCTGTCGCGCGTTGGCGTCCGTCTTGAAGCGGTTGCCCGAGTTCAGGTCGGTGACGTACCGGGTGACCAGCTCCTTGCCGATGTGGTCCACCGCCACCGGGATCGGCCCGACGATCCACTCAAACTCCAGCACGTCCTCGGTGCCGTCAACACTGGGCACCAGTCGAACCACCTGGCTGATCCAGTCCACGGAGAAGGTCTGGTGGACTTCGGTGAACTCCGCGGTGCCGTGCAGCGTCGCCTCGACGACGTGGGCCGCCGGCGTTGGCTTCTGCTCTGCAGGGCGGAAGATGTAAGCGCCCGAGTTGCGTGCCCGATCCTCAATGCCCTTGTAGAAGTGGAACTCATTTTTGAAGCTGACCGAGGTTGTTCCATCGGCCAGCGTCACCTTAGAAATCGCCCCCTTGTCGTCAAAGTGCACCGACATGTGTCGGCCCTTGAGGACGGCGTTTGCGGCGGAGGTCTTTTTTTGCGATACCTCCTGCTTTCCCACCACCTCCTGGACGGCAAGGTTTACCAGGCTTAGCGGTGGAATCAAGGGAAGCCGGACTACCAGTTCGACCTTGGATTTTCCTCCTTTCCTCTCCGCCAACTTCTGCACCGGCTCCGGAATGTCCACCACTGCAAAGGGAATCTTGGCTGAAGGCGTCGCCAGATCGGTGACCGTGTACCGGACGCCCTCCTTCACCGGAAAGCGCACCGTCTGGTTGGCCAGCTCCATCGCCAGCGGGTTGATCAGCGTCACGGTAAAGTTGGCCGCCGTTTCGGTAATTGGACAGCTGCTGGCGTTCAGCTGCGGACAGAAGGTGCCACCGACGGCGGTGCCATTGTAGAGAACGCGGAGTGCCTGGGCGATGCCCTGCTGAACGCCGGAAACGGCCTTGGTCAGTCGTTTTGAGTAGTCATCGGAGACGTGCTGTTTCTCAGTGCCTGGTGGAGAGAGGAGATTGAAAAAAAGATGTTGTTGTACAGTTAATTTTCGCTTTTCCTAACTCCTAATCCACTTTTTCTTACCGGCCACAGCGTCGTGGTGCTGCATGATGCCCATCTCCTCCTTGAGGGCAATCAGCTGCCGCTTGAAGGTGTGCGGCGGCTTGGAGAGGACCTCGACGATTTTTCCCGTTTGCAGAATGCTTGCACCGACCCGCTCCTGCAACTTCAAGGCTGCTCGTGAGGTAAAGTAGCCCGTCCAGTAGCTGTGCGGGTCGCTGGCGTAGGGAAAGAAGTCGTCAGTTTTTGAGGCGAAGGTGACATTGGCCGCATCGGAGAGGGCCTTTGCGTAGCAGCTCGGCGTCGAGTAGAAGACCTTGAACTTAGTGGAGTGAGCCATCCAGTGAATTAGCTTGTCCATGTTCTTGTAGAAGGGATGGGCGGCCATGTACTGAAAGTCCTCTCCCATCGGAATGAGGATGTTCCGCGTTGGGTAGCCGACGGCGTAGGCGTTGGCGTTCTTTTCAAAAGTTTCCAGAAAGCGCACCAGATTGTACTCCTCCGAGTCGGTGTTGTCGACGATCGGGTCGTCGTCGTTGTCCACCAGGTCCCAGCGGAGACCGGGCAGCGGGCCTGAGGGTTTAAGCAGAAGATGGGTTTAGTTCAGACAGATGTTCAGACAGCAAAAGCATTCCCTTAACAAACCGTAGTGATCCTTCATCATGCCCGTCAGCAGGTCGCCTCTAGTACCGAGCTCCTCGCTCGCCTGCCACATGTGCTCCAGAGTGTTGGTCTTCACCCGCTGGGCAATGTCCTGGTAGTCCTGGCGGGCAAAGAAGAGCGCATCGAAGCCCATGCCGGCAAAGAGAGCGGCCATCTCCTTTGAGTGGCCGAAAGGGTCCAGCTGCCAGGCGACCTTTGGCACGGCACACCGACCAAAGGTGTCCACCAGTCGTCGGTGGCCCCAGGTCATCTGGTCGATGGTGGACAGGTAAGTTGTGGTGGCCTCGTCGTTCATCGACCAGCCGCCGCCGATGAACTCCAGTTGACCTGATGATGATGATGATGATGATGATAAGTTAAAGTTGTTTTATCACTTTTAAAAAGTTTAAAGAAAGAAGGTGGTAACACACCCGACTTGACCAGCTCTCGGACGATTGACCGTTGTTCCTCGCCCTGCTCCTGCCACCACATCCAAAAGAAGGCCGTCTCCACTTGAATGAAGCGGCGGTCCTTGTCGCGAATCAGCTCCTCGATGACCGAGTCAATAGTGTACTGGACGCCTGCTTTCTGGATGTTTGATCGGGAGCCGTAGAAGTACTGCCAAAACAGTGGGTTTTATTAGCATTTGTTGATAACTAAAGTTATCCTTCTGATTGTTTACCTGATCGACTGACTTCAGCCATCCGACGTCCTGTTAAAAAGAGCACCTTTAGTAACTTTAAATGACTTTAATGGACTTATTTCACTTTGACTTACGTCATGAGAATGAGGAATTAGATGCACGTTCAGCCTCTTTGGATCAGGCGCTGTACACTTGCGAAAGTCGCATCGTTCAGGCAGGTTTTCTAGTTCAATCTTAACGCAGTTGGCCACTAGGCCAACTGCCAGCAAAACAAATGTCAGACAAAACGCACTTCTTTTCATTGTCATCATCTTCTAAGCCTAAGTGTTTAGAGTGTTTCCATTCAGCAGCGATGATGATGATGTTGATGATGATGCCAAATGTTGCCAAATGCTGACTTTTCCAAAGGCTTTTATAAACCATTTTGCTTTTTGTTTTATCTCTGCTTTTATCGAAAGGCATTCCGACGTTTCAGAGCACTTTAATTTTAGACAAAAATACTTTAGTTTCTAAGGTCGCTTGAGGTATTTTCTTCTTTCTTCTTGTCATTTTAGTGTATTTTCAGCCTTCCTTTGCCCTTTTGACTTTGACCATAAAAGTAGGGCAGTTGCTAAGGAGGAGAATAACCGCTGCTATTGTTAAACGTTGTGGAAAAATTCCTGACCCAAAGTTCTAAAAGCACTCAAAACATTGTAATCATTTAGAAAAAAATTGTTTTGTATTTTGGCACGTCTTCTGTGCACAGTACCGCCACCCTGGGCGCCCCACTCGCTCAGTCACTTTACATTGTCACGCCATTTGCGATTGACACCAGAAGGGCACTGCCGCTCTCTCCCTTTCCACAGTGAACGCTGTGAACGACGACCGTTGGATTTGAGTGAAAAGCAGCGCGCGCGTATCTTTCTTTCTCTCTCTCCTGAGACACGCACTTGTTCTTCAGCCGTTGACTTAAACGGCCGCAATCTTTGCCCTCTTTCTCTTTCCCTTTCTCTTTCTTCTAGGACCTTGGACTTAGGTCTCCTGTTTTCAACTCTTTTTGCCATTGCCACTTCAACTTCAAAACACTTAACCGATTCACTTAGCACCTAAGCTTGCTGGTGGTGACAAAAGTGACCCAGTAAACATTGCCTTCTTTTAGAGTTGCATCTGTTGCTGCTGCTGCTGTTGTTGTTGATATTGCAGCCAGTTCTTCATCATTACCACCACCACCACCACTACCACCACCGTGTGTGTAATCACAATTACCATCTTATTATCCCCCTTTCACTATCACCACCACATCTAACACACCAAACACCCAAACCATGGGCATCGACAGCACCACAAAGCCCGTGGCCGCCTCGGTGGCCGCCGAACTGGCCGCCCACCTCAATCTGCAGGACGTCGCCCTCGCCTCTGAGTACGTGCAGTTTCGCGAGGACGACGAGCACTACTACGTGGACATCGGGCGCAGTCAAACGATCGCCGCCCTCTGGCAGGAGTCCTTCGACCGAATGAAGGCCCTCGACGAGAAGTTCAACCGCACCATGCTGGCCATCCTGCACGAGCTGCAGGCCGAGGAGCTGTAAGTGCACTTTTTCCAAATTAGCTGTTTCTAAAACTTGAACATCTTTGAGCTAACGACAACCTTTGTTATCCTTCTTCCAGAGAAACGAGCAAAACAAGTGGCGCCCAGTCTGCGGCAGCCACCGTCGCTCTGAACGCCGTGACGCCCTCTAAACACGCAAACAGAACTGGACAGCAGGCGTCCAGCAAGCGCCCCGCTCCTGGCTCCTCTTCAGTGAACAAGGTCATTCTCTTTCGAGCCAAACGAGGCAGCGGAAGCAGTACCACTGCTGCTGAACAGCACAACAACCAGGCTGCCTGCAGCACTTCAAATGCTGCTGGAACTATCCTCTCCTCAAGTCGTGGTCGCAAGCAGCTCTTTGAGACTAAGAACAACAGCAACAACAAGGACGTTGTTGACAGCCATGAAGGTCGAGGCAGTGGAGCTCTCAAGCCGCGCAATGCCGCCTCTAAACAGCAGGCCAAGCCGTTCATTGCCGTGGAGCAGTCCATTGATGGAGGCAGTGGTGGTCATCACCAGCAGGGAGCAAACAATCTGGTTGACGCCTCGGTGGCCTCCTCAAACACCTCCACCTCGGTGATTCCTCGAACTCGAGCTCAGGCTCGTCTGCTCGCCTCGGCCACTGCCATCAAGCAGCAGCAGCCATCGGCGGTAAAGGTGGCCTCTTCAAACGCTTTCGGCAGCGCCTCAAAGAGCACTCGATCCCGTAAAGCTGCTGCTGCTGCTGATGAAGAGCCTAGAGCTCGTCAAAGTGGCTACACTACTCCCTCTCGAGGAACAGGAGGAGGAGGTCGCCAGCCTCGAGGCGGAAACTTTGTCAGCAAAGAGGACTCTACCACTTCGAAGCTTCGCAATGCGACGCCTCTTCGAAGTGGCGCCGGNCGTGGCAGAGCTGCGCTCACCAAGCCGTCGACGCCCTTCAAACACGGCGGCCACGGCCACTCTGGCTCCGTCTCCTCGATGGCCTCCTCCACCTGCTCCAACGCCGCCCCGAGCACGCCCTCCTCCTCCTCCTTCTCCACTGCGAGCAACCTGCGTCGAGCCGAGCAGGAGCGAGCTCGTCAGGAGAAGCTGCTCCTCTCGGAGGACAAGCGGAAGAAGGCCGACGAGAAGAAGAAGGACATGCTGGAGCTGCGAGCGGCACGGCTGAAGGAGGAGCGCGACGCTCGCATGGAGAAGATTCGCGAGAACAAGCTGGCGCTGAAGCGGCAGAATGAGGCGAAGAACAGGGAGGTCCTTTGCTCGGCCTCGAAGCCGGTCATCAAACCCGCAGCCCAACTGACCTCATCTCGCGTCAACGCCCGTCGTCGTGCCGCCCTGGAGTCGGTCATTGCTCAGCCCGTACTGGATCTGTCCGAGTCGAAGCCCAAAACTCGAGCCGCCCGAAATGCTGCCAACACTCNAACCTGCGTCGAGCCGAGCAGGAGCGAGCTCGTCAGGAGAAGCTGCTCCTTTCGGAGGACAAGCGGAAGAAGGCCGACGAGAAGAAGAAGGACATGCTGGAGCTGCGAGCGGCACGGCTGAAGGAGGAACGTGACGCTCGCATGGAGAAGATTCGCGAGAACAAGCTGGCGCTGAAGCGGCAGAATGAGGCGAAGAACAGGGAGGTCCTTTGCTCGGCCTCGAAGCCGGTCATCAAACCCGCAGCCCAACTGACCTCATCTCGCGTCAACGCCCGTCGTCGTGCCGCCCTGGAGTCGGTCATTGCTCAGCCCGTACTGGATCTGTCCGAGTCGAAGCCCAAAACTCGAGCCGCCCGAAATGCTGCCAACACTCGAGCCGCGCAGAAAGCAGCCGCGGCCGCGGCCTCGGACAGTTTGGTCAGTTTTGCAAAAAAGGAAACAGCTGCTGCCGCTGCTGCTGCCAAAAAGGAAAGTTCCACTGTCAAGAACTCTCGAAATAAAAAAGCCACTGCAGCAGGAGGAAAGGGCGGCAAGTCAGGCACTGCTTCCTCTTCTTCTTCTGCTTCAGCAGCATCTTCAGCCACCACTACCTCAGGCGGCAAACGAAAGCTCTTCGCTGATGATGATGATGATGATGATGTAGAGGATGAACGTGATGGTGGCGGCAGTGGAGCAAATCAGAAGAAGAAGATGCCACCGCCGATTCCCTCCACCAAACCGGTGGCCACTCTTTCGCCGATCGCCAAGGTGGCCGGCGCCGACGGCCAACTGCCCGACGGCATCAAC